ATCTTATATTCATTTGTTCCGTCTATTTGTGTTTTTTTTATTTACTTATTCTTTATTGCATTCCTTAATTTAAAAGAATACAAAGGGCGCACTTAATGCCTTGAGGCATTCTCTACCGGTCAACCCATGGAGTGGTGAGAATTTGACGTAGGTGTAGCAATATAGAATAAAAACAAAATAAAAATGATTATTTACATTTTACTAATATATCTAATAAATAACTATAGAAATATCTCCTATTTATAATGTTTCTATCACAGTATCATTTTTTTTTCAACTATATACTATATTCGTGATAGCTACATTTTCCACTTATAAGCTAGTGCTTGACCACAATCCCACCTGGTGGTAAGTGGTGATGCAGCCTTAGATGGTAAATCGCACTGTCTTAGCGTAACAAAAGCCTATTCAATCTTGCCTTGAGGTCGCGCTGTTTTTGGCAATTTATTCCACTCCTTTTACTGCACGCATTACGAAAGACGAAGCATATCCAGCAAACCGTTAGATTCGGATGCGTGGAATATCAACAACAAAAGTGCGAAGATGTGGAATGTGGAGGAAGGAATTAAACATGTCATATCGTAATTAATAGAGCCACGCTGCAGCTTTATTATGGTTGTAGTACGAATGGATCGGCTCTACCGGGGAAGGACAAGCCTCTCACAAAATACCAGCGTGAAATAGCAGCTTAATGTTTTCTATCATTACTACGCACTAGGCATTTTATCGCAGTCCCTAGGAGTGACCACGCATCAACATTTTGATTCTTAACCGATGCTAAAGGTAGGGGCGTCTAAGGGCTACAGCATCCACTTACTATCAGGTAGTCTGTGTGCTTTTCTCTTATTCTATCAAATATGTTAACAATATACATTTTCAAGTTTTTGATTATTTAGAAGATTTTCATACATAAGTAAGTACATTTGACTACCTATAACAATCATTTCATCAGACAGCTCACGCACATATTATTATGATTATAGGTTGTGTTCTGTCCTGTATTATACAATATGTAACAAGAAACCCTGTGGTTCCCGTTAAGTACGTTATCAGGATCAGTATTCAAACCTATAGAAATAACTTTTTTTTTAAATCTACCATATTTTTTTTGGTTAAATATAAAAAAAAATTATGTGGTTTTATTACCTCTTACTGACACTAGCCGATGCTAAAGCTAAGTAAAGCGGGGTCTTTGACAATCCTCTTACTCCCCAGACAATCCAGAGGTAATAAAACCACGTACAATTTGCATACAATTTTTTTTTAAATAAAATGAAATAAAAATATTGTTCGAGTTTTAAAAAAAAAGTTATTTCTATACGTTTGAATAATGATCCTGATAACGTACTTAACGGGAACCACAGGGTTTTTGTTACATATTGTAATTAATGTTCTGTGTTCAGTTCGGCTTTTAGAAACTTAATTATCTATTTTCAAAAGTAACTTTAATAGTAACTTTACGGCCGGTTCAGAGAGATTATCGAGTTTAAATGCAACCTCCACAATGTCAAAATTTGTGTCACAACACGATAGAATTCTTAGTAGAGTAGAGTAATAGTTCACCGTGGTTTAGATTCTAGACTCATATCCCACCACTTATGAGCTTAAGCGCGAGATAGTCTTCGAATATTAGACTAAGATCGATTAATATTTTTTAGAATTCTCTGTGCCACACATCCAGATACAAATGGCGTAGAAAATGTAGATATAATATACTTTTAGTATGTAATAGTATCTATACAAATAAATAAAATTGAAGTGTCTGTTTGTAATGTCAAAATTACAGCTTTTCACCAAATGCATATGAAAGTATATACGGTACTTAACAAAAATACAACTTTTAAAGTTTTTGTCTGTCTGTCTCTCTGTCTGTCTGTCTGTTTGGTCCAGCTAATCTCCGAAACGGCTTGACCGATTTTGACGGGATGTAGCTAGCAGATAGCTGATGTCACAAGGAGTAACTTAGGCTACTTTTATTTTAGAAAAAGAATTAGGGTTCCGCGCAAAAAAATTAAAACCCCAAATAACACGCGGGCGAAGTCGCGGCGAACAGCTAGTATCTCAATATAATTCAGTACATATTTTCACACTGGACACATAACCTTCGATAGCTCAGTTGGTAGAGCGGTGGACTGTAGAGGTACTTAAATTCGAAGACATCCATAGGTCGCTGGTTCAAATCCGGCTCGAAGGAGATTTTTTGTTTTAAAAATAAAAATAAATATGCAGAAATAAATTTAAAAAAAAACGACCTACATTTTGTTTTGTTAAATATTCTTATACATATTTAATAAAGAAAGAATTTTATCTATAATGGTGGCCCGGATTGGATTAAAATAACCAAAGATGTACATAATACCTAGATAAAGAAATACAAACTGTGATAATACCTGATATGGAGAAAAAATATGCCGATGTTTTATAATAATATGTCCGAAGAAGAACCGTCAGTGATATTCTCTGAATATTTTTAAAAACAATATAAACGACCATATTCATTAAAGAATATACAAATTTATATTTATATTAAAAAATAAATCGTAAAAATAGTTATAAAACTTAACTGAATACTTTTTTATTTACATTTCTTTCAAATTAGCTTTTATTAAAAATGTTCAACATTTGTGATCAAAAATTATTGTTATTTTATGAAAAAGTAAATAAAAAAAATTATAAAAATTTGAGTCATTCCGTTAAAAAAGACTGTTTCCGCCCGGGATCGAACCGGGGACCTTGTGCGTGTGAAGCACACGTGATAACCGCTACACTACGGAAACTTGACTATTATGTTCTAAAATTACTATTATAATATAAAATGATGTCTAATTGTCAAAATGCTTTTTATCAAATTAAATTTTAAAATTATTATAATACAGAAAACACCTATACTAACGTACGTACTAACGTAACTCGTTCGTTTCATCGTAGATTAAAAATTAGTAAAAGTAAGGAATAAAATTTATTTAAAAAAAAAACTTACCTTGATAGATGCACACGGAAGAATCCAAGGAAGTGACAAAAACAGCGGGAGCGTTGTCGTGGAACGTCGGTTGAGGACTTTCGTGGAATCTACTCATGTTGGGCTTTTATACTAGGACAAATTGTAGTCCGCCATCGACCACCCGCTGAATGTGCTTCATTACTTTCATTTCAAAGGGTGTGTTTATGTTGCGCAAATTTGTAATACAATTCGCACCCTCACATTGCGACATCTTTAATTTGGACCATAATTTTCGTTACACAACAAAGCAATGGATTCATTGACGCGTTTGCTAGTACACAATAAATTAATTGCATAGCTACAACGCAATGTACGCTGTAGTTGTCGAAATGAACCGTTGTATTAGAAATAAATTCTTAAAGCGGCGTAAGAGGATGTGAGACGTCAAAGGTTTGATTATAATGTCAGCAATGGACACATCATATCATACCTAATATTTGAAATTTCTGAAATGTAAACTAGCGATCCGCCCCGGCTTCGCACGGACGATTTCTGGGTCGCGACAACCAACCAAACACACAAATATTTCATTAAAATCGATCCAGCTGTTTTCGTTACGTAGCGAGATTAAAGGAACAATAAGTATATAAAATTTAATTTTTTTTATTTTTAACGTGGGTCCTTTTGTGGGTGGAATTTGATAAAAACCGTTCTTGGTAATTTTTAACATGCCAATAAGAATATTCTGGCCTAGTTTTATACCTATAAGGGCTGTAGTTTGAAAATGTGATTTTTTTTCAATGAACGCCCGCGCAACCCCCCTGCGGGTGGAATTTCGTAAAATTTGTTATTAGTTGATCTCTACTCGGCAAAAGAAATATTCCTACCGAATTTCAAGTCTCTACGCTTTACAGTTCCAGAGATATCGTGATGAGTCAGCACATAGGTGGAAATCTCTTACTGCGGATTTTACTGGAAACGAGGCATTCCATCTTAATCCTCACGGGTGACAACGCATCTGCATTTTGATTTGTAAATGAGAATAGATGCAGATGTCTATGGGCCACAGCAATCACTTACCATCAGGTGGACTGTGTGCTCGTTATCTTATAAAAAAAATACATCATTTAATTAATAGTTTTACCTAATAACACCTACGAGCTGTAACACCCAATTTCATATTCTCACAGGTTGAATTTTCCAAAATCCTTTCTTAGTGGGTGTGTACATACGTCGAGATGACGAGATGCCAAATTTCGAGTCAAACGAGCGTAGTTTTGGAGATCTCGTAATGAGTCAGCACATAGGTGGAAATCTCTTATATACATAGATAATGGCTTATGTGTAAATGTTTTAATATTCAAAACTAAATCATGATTATCATCATTACTGTTTTTTACAAGTCCTCTGCTAAGCATAGGCCTCACCCATCGTTTGTCAAAGCACAGTCCTGAGCCACCTGAATCCATCGACCCCCAGTATGTTTCATGAGAACAGAATAGAATAGAATAGAATAGAATAGAATAGAATAGAATAGAATAGAATGATTTTTATTCAATATGGATTATTACATAATACTTATTGAAAGTCATTATTTTATTTACCACTGGTTCGGAAAATACCTCTGTCCTGGGAAGAACCAGCAAGAAACCCAGCGGGACTTTTTTTTTAAACATAATTTCACTTAACAATAATTTTGTTTATACAATTTTAAATGAATTTTCATAGAACCAGCATGGTGGCGATCACCTTATTCCCAGGGGTTATTTTCATTCATGTATTCCTTGATATTATAATAACCCTTTTTGTACAGTTTTTCTTTAATAAAACTTTTAAACTTGTTTATTGACAAACTTTGAACATGTTCTGGGATTTTGTTGTAAAAGCGTATACATTGCCCCATAAATGAATTACTAATTCTGTGGAGTCACTCCATATAGCGTGAGTCAGTGGCATTTTGTTTATATACTCGTATTACCTGTTTACTATGGATTTTAATTGTCCAAAATAATTTTTTATTTTAATTCTATGTTCCTGCATTTCTTTTACAGTAGCGAAAATGGCTGTCGAAGGGGTTATGGTATCCTACAATTACTCTGAAGACGAGGAGCATGCTAACATTTTGACTGTAGCAGCATCCGGCATCAAGTTCTCCGACAGATGGGTGCTGACCCATGGTTCTATACTCTCACCATTGAAGGAAGCCCAAATTATAATGAACGCCAAAGGGAAACCGATGTTAAACGAAGAGTTCTACGATAAATTACCAGAGATATATGTCACGTGCGAGAAAAAGCCATCGAACACACCTAATATTTACGAGAGCGTTGAGGTGTTGAGTCGAGAGAGGAATTTGGACAACGATGTGGATTTTGAACATAGCTGCTATCAAATTAGAGTTCTGACTGGCAGGTACGAATTGCGTTCTTATTAGTTTTATAAATTACAAAATACAATTGTAAAATAGCACTTTAGTGCTGCTGTGTTTCGTATGGTGAGTGTAGAGAACCGGACACCGGAGACTATTTTTACTGGAAACGAGGCATTCCATCTTAGTCCTCACGGGTGACAAAGCATCTGCATTTTGATTCGTAATCGAATATAGATGTAGATGTGTATGGGCCACAGCAACTACTTACCATCAGGTGGACTGTGTGCTCGTTTGTCACCCTTATCCTATAAAAAATAGACTTTTTACTGAAAATGAGGCATTCCGTCTCAGTCCTCAGGGGTGACAACGCATCTGTATTTTGATTCTTCAATGAGGATAAGTGTAGATGTCTATGGGCTACATCATCCACTTACAATCAATGGGACTGTGTGCTCGCTTGTCACCATTATTCCATAAAAAAATGTATGTATTAGTGTATCCAGCCAAGTATGGTTAAACGAAGAAGCAATACTCATGAAATATAGAAAGAAAAACTTACTTATGAAATCGTGAAAGAAAAACGTTTATTAGAGGTCTCGGCATACAAATATCGCCAGATTGCATGGAATTTAGGTTTATTAGAAGTATTTAAAAGCATTACGTAAAAAAAAAGAATTAGAGCAAATTATGAGAGCAATTAAAAGACGGCAACTATGAAAAAATGGACTAACATTCCACACGAATATGAACTGTGACGATGTAAGAATATTTGCTTTCCATATCGTTCCGTAGGTGCCGTAAGAGGTGACAAAGGGAAACTGAAACGGTAGATGGGCAGCAGCATCTACCTGATAACAACGCAAAATAATAAATAACTGCGGTTGCTACCCACCCGCCAAGTGTGGCAAGTAAAATCAGGGGGATTAATGGGCTAATACTCGAACACTGCCTAATTTTAAGATGTCATTAAGTCTCTAGATGTAACAGTCAGTTTGACTGAAATTGATAGAGACAGCACCATATTTAACGGCATCTTAAAATTGATCAGCGTTTGAGTATTTGGGCATAAGACAACCTATGAGGTAGGCCTATGTTCAGCAGTGCACTTTTATAGGATGTATTAGAATGGATGGATAGACATATATCGTGTGCTCACTGTTTAACGAAAATATATTAGAAGTTTAATGGCCAAATACTCCAACGCTACTCAGTGTTAAGATGTCGTTAAGTCTCGTGGTGTCACAGTCACTTTGACTTTATGTGAGAGAGACAGCACGAGGTTGTCGCTAGTTGACCGTGAGGGAAAGTTTTTCGTTACACAATGTAATTTATTTGAGAAGTTGGTTTTTAATAAAAGTTTATGAGTTTCAAGAGTATTATATTAATACACAAAATAATGCCTCAGTGGTTTGATCCTAAATTTTTTGCACATTTTTAACTTTTTTTTAAATTTTTCTACTTTTGTTAATATCTGTTGGTCGGTTTATTTACTTTTAATTAATATAAAATATAACTAATAGACATTAACTTGCATACAACATTACATTTCCGAAACAAATTAACTTCCCCACTATGAAATCTGTCAAATGTTATACCTCACTTTTAAATGGCGCCGCCCTGCTGGCAGAAAAAGTCATGGTGGAAAGAATATAGATAGGTACATCACAATTTTTTAAAAACACTGATTTTTGTTTTTGTGTACATACATTAAATTAAGAGTGTATGTTAATGAGTGTATTATGTGATTGCCAGGATCTGCCACGTGTGGCAGTGCCCGATCCTGGACCGGTGCGTGGACGACATCCTGTACAGCTGGACTATTGGCCACCGGGACGGTGACGTCGAGAAGCAAACTCAGCTGGGGAAAGCGCTGCTCTCCGTCTTCGTGCTGGTGGACTTAGAAAGCGATAATAGAGGTTGGGTTAGATGTTTTCTATAACGTGATAAAAACCTTGTCCGATCCTTGAGGGTTTATTCGGTATCGCAATTTTTTTATCGAATAACAAACAAACAATAACGAATAACAAACGAGCACACAGTCCACCTGATGGTAAGTGGATGCTGTGGCTCATAAACATCTACATCTATCGTCGACAAATGCAGATAAGTTGTCACCCGTGAGGAATAAGATGGAATGCCTCGTTTCCAGTCAAAAGGGTCTCCGGTTCTCTACACTCACCATACGAAATACAGCACTAAGCTGCTATTTTACGCTGGTATTCTGTGAGAGAGTGGTCCTACCCCGGTTGGGACGACCCATTCGTGCTATACGTGATTGTATGTATGCAATCCTTTTCCACAAAAATTAAAAATTACCAAAAAAAAGTAATTGATGGAGAAACTTTAATGTAACCTCGGCACACAAAGGCGGCCATTTTTCATCAATGGTGAGAAATATGGAAACTCAATTGCGTTAAAGATTACATCATGCAAAATGCCCATGAACACCTGGAAAACTTTATATTCACTTAGGTTATCGCCCTTCTAAATTTTAAAAATGATTTCTATTTTAACAATAATAATAATAAAGTCCTCGCTCAAGACCGGTCACTTAGACGGAAATACTACAAGACTAAAGAGAGATCAGGTATAGAACTGATGGCTTTACATGCTTTTCAAAACACTTTTTTATACGTGGTAGAGCCATGCTGCAGCTATATTAGTAGTATAGTTGTAGCACGAATGGGTCAATTCGACCGGAGAAGGACCACGCTCTCACAGAATACCAGCGTAAAATAGCAGCTTAATGCTGCTCTGTTTCGTATGGGCGTGTAGAGAACCGGAGACCCCTTTTACTGGAATCGAGGCACTCCATCTTAGTCGTCACGGGTGACAACGCATCTGCATTTGTCGAGGATAAATGTAAATGTCTGTATGCAACAGTAACTACTTACCATCAGATGGACTGTGCGCTCGTTTGTTACCCTTATAAAAAAATACACACACACGTGAAGCACCGCGAGCTTCCTGGCTGAAGATTGCTTGACAGGAAAAAAACCAATAACTGATTTCGGGTCGATCCAAATTTGAACCTCATGGAACTTGAATCACATGATCAGCAGTAGCGCTAATGAAAACAACGAGGCTAGGGAAAGGAATTACAAATATAAAAAACAAGGAAAAGTAATTCTAATTTAAACTATTTATTGTTCATATAATCACATCAACATAATATTATGTTTCTTTACCACACGTGTGTCGCATCTCTGAAAAAAGAAGAAAAGAATGGATCATTATGGTAATATCAAGCCCAATATCAATTTTACTACCAATTCTACTATTAACACTTGTACTTGATGATCTGTACTTTTTGATTCAAGCGTTACCCCGTCACTAGCAAGTACTTTTCCCGGTCGAGGTATTTTATTTTTTTTAATATAAGATAAGGTGACAAACGAGCACACAATCCACCTGATGGTAAATGGTTGCTGCGAGCCATAGACATCTACATTTATCCTCAATAGAAAATCAAAATGCAGATGCATTGTCACCCGTGCCTCTATTCCAGTAAAAGGGGTATTCGGTTCTCTACACTGATCGTACAAAATACAGCAGTGTTAAGCTGCTATTTTACGCTGGTATTCTGTGAGAGCGCGGTCCTTCCCCGGTCGAGCCGACCCATTGCAGCATGGCCCTACCACGTATAAAACCGTATTAACGGAGCGCCCCGCATACATTTCAAGTAACGCAAAAACTAAACCAAAACTATGCGCAACTTATTGTACGAACGAAAAAAGAAATCTGTTTATTTCGTACTAACAAATTGTTAGTACGAAATAAACATCCATAATTGTTAGTAGATACAAGAAAGTTATAGCTATGTTAATAATAATTAGGTGTAGACACGAATAATTACTTTAAGTACAAACCAGACCTGCCTGACGCACTAGGTTTATGCACATGTATATTCACACAGTGTCCCATAATAGGAAAATCTGGTTTGTCACTAATAGCCGTGAGTATGGTGTTGGAGCTACTGCGTATTCTGCGCATGAGCGAGGCGACCCGTTTGCGCAACACCGCCTCGAAGCTATCAGTGCGCACTTGCGCATACATACCCGATGCGCTGTAGAATCGCGGCAAACCCAACATCACTCTGAAGGCATTATTATACTGTACTCGGAGTGCGCTGAAAGCCCCCCGCGTATAATCAACCCACAGATTACACGTGTACATTGTTTGGCAGAAGGCTTTAAACAATGTTATTATAACTTTTGTGGTACATCGTGAAAATCTGCGGGCTAACATACTGCAGCAGACTGCCAACGCTTTCCTGTCCCTCTCCATATCACAGTCATCCCTCAGTCTCTCGTTCACTATGTGACCGAGATACTTGAAGGACGGCGCGTGATGTAGAGCTACCACGTTTAAGTACCCTGGCGGAACATTGAGAGCTCTGCGACTGTCTGCCTTAAATATTTTCTTTACGTTGTAAAGAAGACCGTGAGACTCAGCAAAACGCTCACAAACGCTCATCAGTCTTCTGAGAGCAGCGACTGATGGACTCAGCAGCACCATGTCGTCGGCATAACTTATACCATTGACACAAAGACCGTCAATAGAGCATCCGACACGCATGCTGCCGAGCCCCCGAATCAGCTGATCAATATAACAATTAAATAGTTCGGGAGAGGTCAAACCACCTTGTCTCACCCCGCATTTAAGCTTAAATCCATCAGAAAACTGTCCAAGCTATTTGACTTGGTTATTCTGATGTCCATACCAGTATTTAAATATATTGACAATGTTATTCGGGACACCACTCGCCAACAGCTTCGCCCAAAGGAAATCATACTGAACCAAGTCGAATGCCTTCGACAGATCCAGAAAATACGCACATGTTTTTCTGTAAGTGTAGTGACTGATTATATGCTTGAGGAATATAATAGCATACTCAGTGGATAAGCCTGGCCGAAAACCGAACTGGGCTTCATGAAACTTAAGATGTTGTTGTTCAAGCAAACAATCAAGCACTTTAGCCGTCACAGTAACTAATGAGATCGGTCGGTTTTATTTTTAACAATTGGAACTACGACCGTTCTTATTAGATCTGCAGGTAAGTAAGCATGCCTCCTACAGATTGTGAACAGCCGACCCAGCAACCTTGGTAGGTGAGGCCCCGCGTAAAGAAAATGCTCAATGCTGAAGCCGTCGTGCCCTGGCAAAAACCTCCTTGGCAGTGAAACTTTCTGGCACAGCGGTCACGACCGGCCCAGCATCCACACTATCACATTTACCAGCATTGCCCGTGGCGGTGACAGGCTGAACCTGGAAATGCGCTTGAAACAAGTTCGCAACATCCTTCGGATCACTGGCGCCGACTTTGGACCCATTTTCTTTGTTTGTTGCCAAACCCCCCGAAAGTCTTTCTTTTCATGTTTACAAGCTAGTATATTCATTTTAATTTGCTCTTGGTTATTTTGGCAGTATTTTAATTTGTTTTTAAAAACTTTTCTCAACTCGCACATAACTATGTGCGTGTTAGAAATTTCTGGCGAGCATCTTAGTGTGCAGCCCGCAAGACGCCGGGCATTTTTCTTGTCACCATCACCACCATTATCGCTACTTCTTTGGATTAAATGTAGAACATGACTACTACACACACAAATTATCGGACCCGAACAATAATTATTTTTTTAGACCTATCCAACTATGTATAGTTGGATATTTGTTCACCGCCACAACACGGTTGTTCGAATGATAATACATCCAAATACACATTTTACTCAGACCAGAGGGATAGGCAAAGACGACGGATTTCCATACAAATCATTGTTACGGGTCTGAACGTTTGTCCTTGCGATATTTATGAATGTGAACTGCCTCCACGATTCAGGAGAAAATCCTAGAGTGCGGGTGTAACGTTATATAACGTACGTAACGTACGCAATAGGAAATTATTATATTAACTTTGGCCTCTCAATACATTTATGAAAATGTAATCTACGTACACAAAAATAAAAGTAGTTTTACTAAAATAAATGATACTCAAGTAGTGCAGTTGTACCACTTCTAGACCACCTGAGTCAGACGTGGTTCAACGACGTTCGTCGACGCCCGATCCAAAAAAAAAAAAAAGGTTTTGGCATGCTCTGATCACGAATCCGCGGTCCTTTTGTGTGTAGAATGCACGGTTCCGGAGATGTGTAGATCAATTAGCTAATATCTAATTGATATCCGGTAAGGACCTCCACCGTCATTAGCGTCCCATTGTTCCTATTTCTATTGTTCTATTGTTCATTAATCACCCTCATTGCAGCGTGTGCGTCGACTATATCAGTGCTATTGTTTATTATAATTCTTTGTTTATACAACGCTAATCTGAATCATCAATAAAACACATTACATAATTTTGTTACAATTTTTATTTATAAAATACAAAATCTTATTAATTATTATCTATAAAATAGGAGCGAAACATCTCATCCACTAAAATATCGTTGTACAATGTGTTCCTTGTAAATATACTCGTAAAACTATGTATTGAACATCCTTGAAACTTATATAGTAAATACATTAAGCAATATTCGCCACAAACTGAAGTCCACTCATTCTGAATCCTATCAATATTCCAGTTCCATCTTTTACAATTCCTTTTTAAAAACTCTAGATGATATCGTACAGGTGATCGTCCATATGAATCAAAATATTGACCGACGTCATTCGTATCGATATATAAAGCTACCCAATGTGACCCTGGTTTATCATCTGTATCCAAATTACATATTATATACGTTGGTACGTGGGTATACATAGGCAGTCTATTAGCTGCATAAACATTATTTTCTAGACTGGGGTGAATCTTTTTCAGATGTTGTTGTACATCTAGTGTATCCATGATATTACTGGTATTAGTAGATTATTACAGTACCTAGCTACTCAATGAATAACATAGGAATGGTCAATTATAGTGATTTCTACATATTAAATTGCATTTTT